GAAATATCCATATAGGGTTCCAGAGAAAAAGCAAAAGACTATGAATTATTACACTAAATCTAAAAATGATGTTTTAGAAGGCATTACTAGTTTTGGAGAAGTTGTTAAGTTCACTGAAAAAGGGACTAGAGAAATGATTGCTAAGTATTTCTTATTGGCAGAGTTACCATTTAGACATGTGCAAGATTAAGGTTTTCGATTATATACAAAGTATTTTTTTTCCAACATTTGAATTTCCTTCAAGAGTTACAGTGGCAAAAGATATATATCAATTGTTCCTTGATGAAAAGAAGACACTGAAGAAAGAATTGAGTAGACATAGGGTTTGTTTAACTACTGATTGTTGGACATCCATCCAAAATATTAGTTACATATGTTTGACTGCTCATTGGGTTGATGATGATTGGATCCTTGAAAAATATATTATAAGCTTCATTCAAGTCCCCAGTCATAAGGGTAATATGGTGGCTAAGGAGTTAATTTCTTGTCTTCATGATTGGGGAATTAAAAAGATTTTTTGTGTTACTGTCGATAACGCCTCATCTAATAATGTTGTAATATCGAAATTGAAAGAGAGTTTTTAGGAGACTAAACATGGTCTAATTCTTGATGGAAAAATGCTTCATATGAGGTATTGTGCTCATATTCTCAATCTCATTGTTTGTGATGGTCTAAAAGAAATTAGTAGTTCTATTTCGTTAATTCGCAATGCTGTGAGGTTTACTAGGTCTTCCCCGGCATGATTGAAAAGGTTCAGGGAGAGTTGCAAAGAGCTTAACATCGATTCTTGAGCTTTGTTGTGTTTGGATGTGACTACTAGATGAAATTCTACATACTTGATGTTAGACACTGTAATGAAATTTAGAAAAGCATTTGGTGCTTTAGAAAGTGATGCAAATTACGCAAAGTACTTTGATGAAGAGAGAAGAGGCGATGAAAGAAGTGGTTCACCCACTCCATTTGATTGGGATGAAGCACAAATTTTTGTGAAGTTTCTTAAAACATTCTATGATA